GAATGTTTGCAAAATAAATCAAATCTTAGACTTAAGTCACATACTCCTTGCTCTGTTTTAATCTAATTGAAGCATTTATTTTCCAAAGTTATAGATTATTATGGGTCTCCTCTCCTTTTTGGTTATTCTTAGCCAAGATCTCTTTCATGGCAGGTATAACATAGCAATAAAGATTATTTTCATTAAGTATCAATACAATGTGTGTGTGTATGGTATTACCTTACTGAATAATTTTTCACATGTAAGTGCCAAACTCTGAATTATTCTCAGCTGTCTTGTGTACATTTCGAATTTCTTGACTATTTCTGTACATTAGTAGTTCTCAAACCTTAATGTGTATCAGATTCACCTGGGGGTTTATTAAAACCCAGATTGCAGGGCCCCAGCCCCAGAATTTCTGACTCAGTAGTATGGAGTGAAGCCTATGAATTTTCATTTTTAACAAGTATCCATGTGATGCTGGTACTCCTGTCCTGGTCTAGGGACCACAATTTGAAGATCAGTGATCACCATGACTCTCCGCTGGTGCTTTCTACTTCCCAGGACACCCTGAGCCCTTCTTGGCACTCACTGTTCACTGCACATGAGAACCACAGCTTAAAGAGAGCGTTGAAACGGCTGTGGTGGTCAACCAGATCTGGGATGTGCATGTCCTTCAAGAATGGGCACAACAGGGGCTCTAAAACGCAAAACTGAGGAAAATGACAGTTCTGCCAGTGGCTCAAACCACAGATCAGGGAACAGTTTTCACATGTGCAGAGGGTGGAAAGAGCCATCGTTTGCCCATTAGTCCCTGCAGCAACACATACCCCAGTGATGGCAATCTACAGCAGCCATGTCATCTTTGAGAATGAGGGTGGCCACTACATCCAGAAAACAATTTATTATTCAGCCTTCACTTCCTGATGGGAGTTCAGTCAACTTAAATTCCAGGTGTAAGCTGAGCTAATGCATCTAGTCCATTTTATTGTTACTATGGATTCAGTATTGGTGTGATTTGCCTTGTAAATTCATTTTTTCAATCTATTAAACAAGAATTCAGAATTGGTGAGTCAGAAAAGATTTTTAAAAAATTGCCATAGAGGTCCTCTTGACAAATGTAGTCAAATTACTATGTCTTTAATCATTTGATTTACAAAAACTGCTTGCTTATATCTAAGTTGGGCAGAGAAAATATATTATTTATAGAGTTCATTATCCAAAATACAAATGTATGTACATAAAACTTATATAATGGAATATGTTTTCTTGAGATTAATAAGATATAGGAGATATAATCATACTTCAAAGAATTGAGTCTGCTAGATAAATTGTAATTCTGGTAAAGCTTTACATACCATGCGTGTTTCCCTGAAAATAAGACTGAGTCTTATATTAATTTTTGCTCCAAAAGATGCATTTTATTCATTTATTCATGTACAAAAATCTACATTTATTCAAATACTGTCATGTCTGGCTGACGATCTTAACTGGGGCTTATTTTAGGGTAGGGTTTATATTACAAGCACCCTGAAAATCATGTGAGGGTTTATTTTCCAGTTAGGTCTTATTTTCGGGGAAACATGGCGTTTATATTTTGATCAAACATTTTAATCTTGATGCATACTCAATGCATTTGGAATCAGGAAAATGCATGGGATTTGTCAGTATATTTGATATCTATTGCTTCTTTGTTTGAAATATTCGTGTGAAGAAATCTTGCTGTTTCTGGAAATGGAGTCTAAAAAAATGCCCTAGTAGTTTAACTATTCACTTAGCTTTGACTAAGCATGCATTCATCCATAAAAATATATGGTGTTTTTATGAGTTTGATTAAACTTGATATAAATTCATTGTAATGGTATGTATAATCAGCTACTTTTTGCCCTTCAACAATTTATTTTTAACTGATGCTTAGTATTCCATTTTGTATTCATAAATAAATTTATCTATTTTCCTATCATGGACATTTAGGTCATTTTTAATTTTTCAATGCTAAAATTCTTCAGTGATTGTTCTTGTAGCACATCTCCTTTAGCATACAGTCTAGAAGTGAAATTAAGTAGTATACAAAGATTCACCTTACAAGATATTGAAAAATTGCTCTCTGAATAAGTTATGCCAAATTATATTGCCACTGGTAATATTCTTGTTTCACATTTTCCCCAATACTTTAATGTGAGAGTTTTTAATTTTGAGAATGTGAGGTTTAATTTTATCCAGCCTGAAAAGTGTGAAATTGTATTTCCTTGTTTTTATATTTAATATACCTAACACTCCTAATTGCCAGCACAGATAGAAGCTGTGCTTCTTTTCTTTATTTTTATTAGTTATTGGGTTTACCTTTTCTGTGAACTGTCCAATTACGTCTTATGCCAATTTTTCTACTGTGTTATCTTTTTCTTATTGACTATAGGTCTCTATACAATCTGAATACTAATCCTATTGTTGACTATATACTTTGCAAATATTTTCTCTAGGCCTGTGGCTTGTATTTTAATTTTGTTTCGTGGCAATATTATTGTTGCAGAAGTTTTTAATTATGGTGTAATAAATATTATCAATCTCTTCCCTTAAGGTTTGTATGTCTTTTTCTTTTTGTCTTGTCTAAGAAAACTTTCCTAGTCCAATATCCTCAGAATGTTTTAAAGTTTGTTTTTTTCATTAGGTCTTTATGTAGAATTATTTTGTAGGTAGCATCAGTTTATTTTTTATATGGATTATTAGTAGTACCAGCATCATTTATTGAATAATTCATCCTTTCATCACCAATTCACATGTTTGGGCCTGTCTAAATTTTTTATTATGTTCTGATATTCTATTGACTTATTTTGTAGTGGTAGAAAATTTGCATTTCTATTTTTCCATAAGTTCATTACATGGTTACCTCAGAATGTTTCCATGCCTTTCATAATTTCAGTTGAATAAACAATAGTCTATGGACATAAATTTGGCCCCTGATATTAACCAATGTGGTAGCCATTAGTGTAACCTATAAAATGTTTCTAGTTCTCTGACTTCTAGAAAATGATGGGATTGTACTCTCTACTGTCTTTGTACTTAGGCATAACCATATGACTTCCTTGCCAATGGGGTCATTCCTGAGTAGAAGCTTTAAATAGAAGCTCTAGGAACCAGCCTGGGAATTGCCATAGTTTTCAGTCCGGCCTCGGGAATTATGGAAACATGGGGGAGGGGGAAATTCTCTGGTAGACATAGAGATGGATATAGAGCAGAGCACCAGATAGCCTTCAATGGACATGGACCTAAATGAAAACCAAATTTTAATTGTCTTAAATCACTGATATTTTGCAGTTGTTCATTATTCCAACATAACCTGGCATATCCTGGCTGATACAGTTAATATGTAACTGCAGTTGGATGATTGGGAAAATGGTAAACAAACACTTTGCATTTGTTAGTAGGTGATGTTTATATTTAATGTTTCTTTTTCTTTTTAATTTTTTCTCCCTCCTCCTTTCAACTATGTTACTCCCCAATACACTTGATCTGCCAAACCAATTGGAACCACCTTTTTTTTTTTTTTTAAAGATTTTATTGGGGAATTGGGAGAGGGGAGCAGCATTGGGGAATTGGGGAAGGGGAACAGACAAGTTGCTGTCCTTTCGTTCTTTAATTGTGGAGGATGTCGCTTCACTGGCCCATGTTGGTATCATCCTTGCACTCTTTCCGGGTGGGATAGTTGCTCGCCGGCCATTGGATAGCCACTCAAGGCGGCTCATGGCAGCTCACGAAAGCGCATACCTGCTGCCGGCCAGCCCCACTGCAGCCTATGCCCTTGCCGGCGACTCATGGCAGCCCAGCTCCAGGTCGAGCTGTTGTTCAACATCTTAGCTGTAGAGGGCACAGCGTCACTGGCCCTCATGTGGGATCCAAACCGGGGACCTGCTGCTCAGAGCTGGCATCCCAAGCCAACTATTAACCAACGCGCCACTCGGCCGGCCCTGGAATCAATTTTTTTTTGTGGCCTGTATTTCCTCTCCCCATTTGCAATGCCTAACCCAGCTTGTATTTCTTCCCTCGAGCCAGCATTTTCCTTCTTGAAGAGTTTACATTTTTAAAGATGATACTTGAAAAGATCAATGTACTACCTAAAATCTTTAATGGTAAAGATCAACTTTATGACCATAGAGTGAGGGGTCATTAGTAAAAAGTGGTTTCTCACCTTCTCTTTATCATCAACATTGGTGCCTACTGATTTGGTACACATTTTAGACTGCCTCTGACATTAAAATTCATAATCATTTGTTGGGGTTAGTTAATCCCATTCACAAACCTGTGTGTTCAGTATCAGATTCTTATGTTTCTGCAATATTTACTTATTATTGAAAGGATAAGAAGGTAAAGATAAGTAGAGGTGGTGCTAAGAAGATACTTCCCCAGCAGAAATATCTTTTTCACATAATCTTTCCACTGGTGAAAGTTTCCTTTATATTAATAAGTTACCCCTAAGCATGCAAAATAATCTTATATTATGGTGGGGTTGAGCAGTGATAGAGGTGAGGAAGAAGGGAATTGATATCCAGAGAAATAAATTTTTAATCATTCACACTTTAATGTGAAATATATGAATCCTTTGATTGGAATGCTTGCCTCTTAAGACCTAGGAGGTGTTAGGTGAGGCAGTGGACAGTTGGATGGCTGTGATGAGTAATTTTAGTGCATGAAATGCAGCAGCTTTCTGTGGTGGGTCCACCCTAGAGGCTTTGGATTTGGCAGAAGGACATAGGACTTCTCAGACAGAATACAGGTGTGAGAAAGGATGTGGAGACGGCAGCAGTCACATTTCTTTTCTGTAATTTTTTTTAAGACTTCTCATGGGGGTTACAGACATCCTGAAAAATTATCTTTAGTATAAAAAGCTACCATTTATACCTGTAATGATTTCAGCAGAGAATATCAAACATTTTTGATGTTAGAATGCTTGCTTGCCAAACTTCGTGCTCCTTAAAAAATGAATGTTGATTGGTTAATTAAAGTTTACATCTTTCTTTTTTTAGGTGGTTCTTTGGAACAATCAAGAGAGCAGATGCAGAAAAACAACTATTATATCCACAAAATCAGACAGGTGCCTTTCTAATCAGAGAAAGTGAGAGCCAGAAAGGAGATTTCTCCCTTTCAGGTATGGGCATTATTTTTTTGTGTGATTTAAGTACAGATTTGAGAGTCTGTAGTCATGGACCTACTGTATGAATACAGACATGTTAATTTGAGATTTGCCTTATTTCTTATCTTGAAAATAGTACCAAAATCATATCTACTGAGCTACTTCAGAGTAATATAAAAATTAGCAAGAAATTACTATTTATGGCTAGACATCTCTAAAAGTTTCAAATACATGCACTCTAGAAATAAAAATAAAAACATATGGATCTGGCTATGTTTTCTCATTTGCATTACCAAGGATCCTATCCTTGATGGGAAGTAATAAGCAAGAAGCAAAAACTACACTTGTCAAACTTGATCTTGCCGTAATGCATTTTCTTTTTTGAATTTCGTTTATCTTTGCCTGGAAAATAGAAAATGAGTTGAAATGCTGAATGCAAATGCATTTAATTAACTCCATGACATGTAATGTTTTGTCAAGTGTAGTTTTCCAACTAAGAGTCAAGTACATGTTTACCTTATACTACTCTAGAAAAGAAGTCACACAGGGGACCTGAATATTATCTTTAAGAGGGACAGGTGCAGGTATGTCTCTGGTTTCAAGAATCTGCTTCTCGGTGTATAATCCAGTGCTGCAGAATGTCCTTTCTTAAAGACTCGACTCCAGCCTCTCCCGTGAGACTTTCTCCCTGCCCTTCTCTGATCTCTGTATTGGCTAATCATTTGTGTTATTGTCCCTTTTATTTTGTTCCTACAACTAGAAGTAAACCTTTCGGGAGAGTAGGTTTTGCTTTCCTATATCCCCATTGGCCTGTAATAAACGTTTAGTAAACACGATGTTCACGCACCTTATTGTATTTGCCTGCTCACTGAGCTGAAGTGAGGACAGTGTGCACGGCACAATATTAAAACAGGCCCTGAGCCCACAGGTACTGGGAACTTTGACCTGAACTGAACTCAGGCTAGACCGTGTGTGTTTAGTACCCGTTTTTTGTCCTCACACCTGATGGTCTGAGATATCAGGACAGATGGATTGGAGCTGAAGCGAATTAAGAGCAATGGTGTTGAGACATGTTTTTCAGAAGGCCTATCCTTCAGTTCCTGCCAATTCTGGCACCAAATCAACATGATATTCCAGAATCATGTGGATTCAGCTCCACCCCTACCTAGTTACATATCAAATCAGATCATCATGATTTAGGCAAAAGCGAGGTTAAATGTTTTAGATTGGCATTAAAATATAGAAGAGTCATATTTCTGTGAGGAAGACAGACTAAAAGTAGAATGACCTGAGTCATACCTTAGAATAATGCCCAGGCTACCATGACTATTCTGAAAACTCTCTAAGTAGAATATTATGGAACAAAACAGCTTTACAGGCTCAGAAGAAAATTACAAGTATATTGGCTGTGATGTGCTGATAATACTCTAGCACTTGCTTAGGGATTTAGTAAGCTTTGTAGGCCCTACTTGGGGACCAGCATACCATTATAGATTCTTTTTCAATGAAGTCCAACAATTTAGAGTCATTCAAACAAATTATCTGATTGCTGTGTATTCACCGAGGGACAAAGTAAATGCAGACCATTCAGTTCTACTGAAAGGAAAATTTTCTTATTAGCCAGAAGGAGGGCTATACAGGAGAAAAATGGAAAAAGGTCTTCAGTATATCTGCATTAAAACAAACAAACAAACCACCCAATTGCTCACTGTTGATTACCATTAAGCATCTTCAGATATACCACTCATGGATTTATTTCTTAGTGCCGTTGTCTCCTTAATCAGTTGAAATTGATGGGTTTCAATTTTGCTGACTACTGTGCTGCTGAAGGAAGGCAAATAATATCCCTTTTCTATCTGTCTTTCCCACGTGAGTTTTCCTTAGAAGTATTGTCTTTATTCCGTGGATGGCAATGGCTTGCAGCTGTCAGGAAAAAAGCTTCATGAGAGAGCGTGATTTATTGAGGCTGGGAGGACGGGCTCCTGAACCAGCAGCCCCAAGTTGGGGTGGGCGCTAATTGGCTTGTTGTAATCCTCGCATGGCTGTCGGCTCTTGTGAGGTCTCAGTGGATCTGGGAAGAAAGTTAGGGCCATGACACCTCTCCTCACAGCAAGACACTAATTAGCGGTGAATTACAGCAGAACTTTTGGATATTACATATTATATGTGGCAGCCACAGAATCTGTCTTCATTAGAGGCATGACAGTAGATTTAGTGGCCCTTCTGCAATTTGTCATAGGGAGTGAATTGTTTGTCTGGTGAAAAATATAAAATTATGGCTGCATGTCAACTGGTTTAGCTATTTTTTTACTTCAATCAATTACTCTAAAGGAAATTATTACTGTTATGACCATTAATATTAATTTGATGTTTGGTGTCCTATGAGCATTTGTATTATTGCTTAAAGTACACTTTAAGAAAAAAGTACTCTGAGGACTGTAACTGAGCTGCAGTTGAGTTTTCCAGAAGAGATTCTGCATTGCACATTATCAGTTTACTTGAGACAACTCTGCATATAAAAACCTGCAGAGTAGCAGAGGGAATTCCGGATTCATCCTCAGTGAAACCCTCTCAAGAGAAAGTGATAATAGATTGAAGATAGTTGAAAAATCACCACATTGAGGACATGAGTCAAAAAAGTTCATCAGCAATATTCAGGGTGACGCATCTAGAAGTCGACATCATCTATTTATATGTTTGTTTATTTCTTCAATAAACAGTCAAGGTGCCTACTATGTGCCAGGCCTTTGCTAGGTGAAGAGCAGCAAAGACAGCCAGGCCCAGTCCCTGACCTCTGCAGGAGGATTATAATATAGCTGTCTTGCTGTGAGACAGGAGAGGGCAGGGGTCAGGTCTCCGAGGGGTAGTCAGGGAGGTTTCACAGAACAGAGAGTTTCTGGGTTCTGTACCAATTTGTGTTGTGAGGGAGCAGTGTGGGAACGATTATTCCTGGCAAGGTAAGTGCACAGAGTTATGAATATGTCTGGTGTTTGTAGAGTGGAGGATGGGAAGGGTGGAGGGTAGCGCAGGGGTGTGTATGTGCATGCGTGCGTACCTGTGTGTGTGTGTGTGTGTGTGTGTGTGTGTGTGTGTGTGTGTGTAGCAGGGGCGGAGGAGGAAGGAATAGAAGAAAATGAGCCTGGAAAGGAGAGTGGAAGCTAGACTGTTCAGGGCCTTGCATATCACTCAGAGGAATTTGGACTTTATTACATCTACAGGGGAAAGTCTTAGGCAGAAAGTGATCTGGTCTGACCTTTGATCGCAGTGTGGAGAATGGATGAGCGATTTTTTTTTTGACTTGTTTCTGCTGATTTTGAGCATTTACTATGATAAACTTCCATTACAGTGAACAGGTCCTGCAGAGTATGGAGGACTTTTATAATAGTAATTTGTGATTGCTATAAAATCCCTTCTTGAGAATATCAGATATGCCTCTGTAGTAGCATAATTTAATTTTTAAATAGATACACTAGAATTTTTCAAACCAAATGAATGTTTTATCCTTCAAAGTAATAGATTGCCATTGCTCAAAGTATTCCACAAATGGTAGAGCTGTCTTTATAGAAAAGATATCACTTTATGTTAAAGGCCCTTAGTTGGGAGCAAGTCTGTGTTTATTAAGAACAGTTTTGATACTTGAAAATAGCCAGAATTGTCTGAAGCAACCTTCTCGATAACCTGGATGATTAACCTGAGTGATATCATGGACTTAATAACTTTATAAATATTTCTGCATGTCTTATGAATGAATTCCAAAAGCAATGAAAAAGGTAATAAGAACAACAGCAGCTTCTTTAGGGAAGATGTGTAACTGTTCATGTTGACCTTGTGTGTATCCTTCATGTTGAACTTACATATTCAAAGACTCATTTATATTTATGAGTGACTCTCTCACCATAGGTCAATTGTACTTCTCAAACTAGATTATAAACTCTTTGAGCAGAAGAAACTTACTTTGATTTTCTCTGTTTCATGCGTCTTCTCCATCTCCATAGTTTCCAGTATAGTTTATAAAGATAATAGATGCTCAGACACTGACCCCTTCCCCTGTGTTCCAGCAGCAGGAGCAAAGATAAGCAAGGCCATCATCACTTGCTTAAACCTCTGAAGTCTGGACCAGGCAGTTCTCCTACTTTTTGTGTTTCAGACTTGTTTTAGAAGGAGAATTTCTCACCTTGACAGGTTAGTTGTGTCCAGGTAATTAAACTTTTGTAGAGTGGACAAAATTGGAGAAGGGCATCACCCGCAGTGTGGCCTCCTATCTGTCTTCCTGGCACTGGGTTCCGACCCAAACTCACTTTCCACCGACAACTGAGATACCATGATTGCCCTGCAATTTTCTAAGTTCTGTTGACTCATTCTAATCTGATACTGGCCTAGTGGCAAAAGGATGTGTGTCTTATTATGAGTCCCCTAAACCATCCATTCATTCTTCATTTAAAATTAATATGGACAGAGTGGCCACAAGGGTGTGTCAGCAGCTCTATTACTATTAATCATGAGTGTAAATACAATTGTATATCCCAAGTAGGGGCAAGTATTGAATGACTGGAAAAACCTGCTCCTTGAATTTATTACACAGTGAAACTTCTATGGATTCTGGGAGCATTTTTATATTGGTTAAAAATGTTTTGCTTTTAAAAAAGTGCACATGCTGCAGAAAGAAATTTTTATGTTAATAACTCCAGTATCTCATATAAAATGTATTAAATTTAAAACATGTTGGCGCCATCTTACCAAATGCCTTTTAATTAAAGTCATAATTTAGTTGTGTTCAGCTTAATTGCAAATATCATTGCCTATAATAGCAAGTGGCTTTTTTCGTGAGTTATGGTATATACTGTCTTTTCTTAACATAACTACTGATAAATTATATATCGCACGTTTTAAATACTCTATAAAGTTAAATTAACCTTTTATTATGTAGTACCTATATTTGTGTTTATGTCTGTATTCACACAGATCACACAGGCAAAAAAACCCCACCCTCTTTTGTAGGGCACCGGCTCATGGAG